GGGAGGCAGGGAAGCAGGGAGGCTGGGAGGCAAGGCCTGGCAGCTACAGGCTGCAGTGCACACTAAGACTAAACTGTGATCCCTCTCTGACTACAAGCTTTTTGCAGCCTTGGGCAGCTCAAGACAAAGTCCTTTATTTTCCAAAATTCATCAATGTCAAAAAGACACTGCACAGTAAATAGGGGCTTCCTGAAGCACAGGCCACAAATTTTCTTCAGTGAACAGGGAGGATGGGGATAGTTCTCAAACTGGTGATGCCGGATGCTTGATGCCAGACAGTGCTTCACCTGACGGAAAGGAACGCTTCATCTCTGAGTCACGGTCAGTACGTAGTCTCCTGTGTGAGCAAATCTACAGGATCGCCCACCTGAGGTCAAGCTGGTTGCGGGGGGAGGGGGGATGGCTGCGTGGCCTCATCTGTCTGCACGACGACTGCCCAGCACCCGCAGGAGGGGCCCCAAAGGCAGGCCTTTAATGCCGTCCTCCCAGGGCCCGAAAGCTGAGTGTGGGGGGGGGGTCCTACGTGTGCTTACTGAATGATGACACAGGACCAAGGACACCTGCTTGGCAATGTCAGAATTCAGGGTAATACTGTAGCCGAGAGGCTGCTAGCCAGGGACAATTCACGTGTGCCCAAAGCAGCCTGAGCCATCGTGACTATTTTTCCTTCAAAAATGAAGAAAATGAATTCAGCCTTGACATCCCCAGCCGACAAGAGCTTGCCTCTGAGCCCACCTGTCCCCTGCCCGGGGGAAAGTGGCGGGTGGGCCGCGCCGCTCGGGGGAAAAGCGCCAAGCTCGGACCGCAGCGGGAGGGCCTGGCATCATGTGCCTTCCAGGCTCGCGCCACAGCCTTACCAAGTCTGGTCGGAGACGAAGGCACGTGAGTACCTGTGGTGACAGCTGTGCTGTAGGCCTGGGTCACTAACGGGCAGTCGTGAGAGGCTGAGTCTAAGATTTCGTTGGTCGTCTCCATGCTGCCATCCAACCTGGAGGAAGCGGAGAGACAGAGACACTGAGGCCGGTCGGGGGTCCTGGAGACATGCTGCAGCAAAGGCAAGAGGCCGCTCAAGGTGGACACGAGCGTGCTCATCCCGCGTGCCTGTTCCCGCGGAGCTTCACCAGATTTGTACTTGGGAAGAAGTTACACCCACGGAGATGATCTTCCGTGTTAAGACTGAGGATCATAAACAGAATTCACTATAAAGAAAATACCCCACTTTCACCCCCATTATAATTATAGCATTGTGGTATCATTTTTAGAGAATTTCTGGATAGTCCTAAAAAAGCAGAAGCAAAATCAAACCGCACTACTTCCCAATGAACAAATACCACCGCCTTCCTGTCAGAGAGAACAGCTACATGTCACCACCACACGGCAGGTGCTCCGGGGACGACACCAGAGCATCGTCCCTTCCTTGCAACATGCTACGTTCCTGCCTCAGCCCGCCTTGTCCCGCACCAGCCACCTGTCCAGCCTCCACCCGGGCAGTGAACGGGACGCTGGCAGGGGGCGCAGGAGAGCGAGAGTGTGGGGGAAGCAAAGCCTCCCAGCACAGGCCAGCTCCACCGGGATGCGCCCCTTGTGCCCCCGGCTCCCGAGGGCACGGCTGAGGGGAGGCCCACTTACTTGTGCTGTTTCATCAGGGTGCACTCGCCTCCCTCCTGGGGGTCCAGGTTGTACATGTACAAGTACCCGTCGGAAGCTCCCACCAGGAGCCGGGGAATCTTCTGAATTCTAGCGGGAATAAAAAGGAGCCCGGTTCCAGGACCGCAACTTGCAGACGATGTTCCGATTACACCGGCAGCCTTGCCTTGGGCACCCCCACCCCATGTGAACACGAGCTGGTTCCGGGCGCTCGACATACTACCTACGGGTCAGGAGAAGGATCGCGCACGCTGTGCTGCCTGAGCTGCGGCATCGAGGCTGAGGGGGTACCTGCTGTGAGTAAACACCGAGGCCCACAGGAGAACCGGTGTGAGTAAAAGCAGTTTCAGGGCTTCTCTAGTTACTAAGGGTGGGTATTCTCATAAGCTTTTTCCCCTGAGTTATTAGCTGCACAAAAAGGACGTAAAATAACATTTATAAGATTCATGGAATCGGGGGGCCTGGGTGGCTCAGTCGTTAACCGTCATGGTCCCAGGGTCCTGGGATCGAGCCCCGCATCGGGCTCCCTGCTCGGCGGGAAGCCTGCTTCCTCTCCCTCACCCCCTGCTTGTGTTCCTGCTCTATCTCTCTCTGTCACATAAATAAAATCTTAAAAAAAAAAAAAAAAGATTCATGGAATCACAGGATTTTCAAGACCGTATTTTCCTGCCCGGCGGGAATCCAACGGGGCTCACGAAGCGCCACGCGCGTTCTCAGGCTACTCCGGAGCGGCACGGACAGCCTCCGACTGCGTTAACCAGCCGGTTCCGTAGGCCCCGAAGGGTTAACTACTGGCAACCTCCTACAGTTTTGACTTAATGGTGTTTTTTCACTACCGTTACAAACATCCCAACCAACGGAGGAAGACTTTCTGGATCAGAACACGGCAGACGAGTCATTCGAGGCTGGTAATGGTGGAGAGGCCCCTGGGGGTTCCCTCCACATCCACTTTGACCAAGTCAAAGGCCCAGGTTTGTGGGTTGTTTCTGGACCAGGAGAAACCTAGCCGGGCCCCAGTGCCACCGTCTCCGGGGTTTGCGACCAGGTTCCCGACTGGACGGACACCAGCAAACGGGAGAGGCAACCCCGTCCATACTCACGTGGCCAGCGAGCAGATGTTCTTGTGGCCGCAGAAAGGCAGGCGGACTGTGGCAAAGGCTCTGCCCTGGTTGAACATTTCTGTTACTTGGGAGGGCAAGTAGCTGGTGGAAGCCATGAGTACCTTCCCGAAGTACCCGGTCCAGGTGGTGGGCTCCTCCTGAGGTCTAGGAGGAGGAACCATCATCAGATGGTGGGCTCTTCACCAGAACGACCAGGTCCCACTTCAGGAGCAAGTATCAGCCCTGAAACTCGAAGAGGACTTGCCCGTACCTCAGGAAAAAGGGGTGCAGAGAACGACAACGTCTCGGGAGCCTGGGAACACTATGGGTGTGTCTTCCGGGAAGGGTCAGAGGAGGCCCGTCAGGTTGCAGAGCCCAGAATAGCCGTGCTCTCCCGAGCGGCCACATTAGACTGTGGCAGATGATTAGGCCCCCCGCCCCCCGACTTTGCAGCAAATGTGAGGACGTACAGAGCTAAATTCGTGACCGCCCCCCACCCCAGATCTCTTTAATACGAAGTCTCCAAAAACCTCATAAGCAAAATCTCAAATTATTTTCCCAGAGCCCATTTTTGCTGTTGTTCATCTTGCATATATTTTAAGTCATCTTAAATGTTCCTCTGAATAAGACAACATACAAACAGTATTCATCCTAGTGGGTCCTGTTAAAATTTAAGGAAAGAACCAGCCCTTCACCATGCACATCCCTCAGAGTAACACGTAATTTCAATCAACTGCTCTAAAAACGGAACCCGCCTGTGGGCAGCTTGGAGCCAGCCCCCACCCCAAGGGGGCGTCTACCCTTAAGTGCTTCTGTGGGTCAAGGTGCTGCTAAGAGGTGGACGGGTGCACGGACCCCAGGACGTCCATCTTCACCCTCCCGGCTTCCTCTTTCCTGGAAGGCCATTTCCCTGCCGAGCCCGGGTCTGGTGTCACCTTACTCTAGAGCCAGCTCCAGGGTCTTTATTGGCAAAAATACTAAAGGCAGGACAGGGTCTGTGTGGTGTTCCCATCCAGTCAGTGGAGAAGGGCCTTGTGTTTTTTAAAACAATTGTGTCTTTGCAACTCACTTTTCTTTCACAGTCTCGAGTTTGAAGATGTGCACAGTCTCAGTGTTGCTGGATGCGGAGAGGAACATGCTGTCCATGCTGAAGGCCAAGGAGCAGATGCTCACACACCTGCGGGCGAGCGGAAGGGGGCTGGAGTTACGCGGTCGCCCACAAACCCTGGTGCCGGTGATTAGCAACCTTTCTCCAGGGACTTTAAAATGTCAGAGAAGAAAAGTTCCCAGAACAGGCAGACTTGGGTCTACTGGTATCTTTCCTATTCCTCTCCAGACATCTTTTCTTTTCTTTCTCTCTTTTAAGATTTTATTTATTTGAGAGTGAGAGCACGAGAAGGGGGGAGGGGCAGAGGGAGAGGGAGAAGCAGGCTCCCCGCTGAGCAGGGAGCCCAACACAGGGCGCGATCCCAGGACCCCGAGATCACAACCCGAGCTGAAGGCAGACGCTCAACTAACTGAGCCACCCAGGCGCCCCTCCAGACAGCTATCCAAAAATTTTTCTAAAGAAAGGGAAATGTTTTAAAGGTAATACCAAGTTAAGAGCAATTCTTTAATATTTTCTTAGTCAATTTTCTTTGAAATTCCAAATAACAAAGGGAATCAGAGCTTCGTTACACTGTTTTCAGCTGAATTAGGCTGCATTTACAGCACCAAGGTTAGTAAAAGAAAATCCAATAATTAAGTTACAGCAATTCTTAACGTGCAAGGAAACTGACCACCTTGGTAATGTTTAAGAATAAAGCAAAATTTTCAACATGCTAAGACTCTACAGTTGATCTTAAAAGTCACTGTAAAAATCCCAAAGCCTCCAATAAATGTGCATTTCCTCACAGCCCTACAAGGACAAGGCGCGTTTCGCCCGGAGGGCTTGTACAAAGCTCTGGTGATAAACGAGGGAGGCTTCTTGCTTTGCCGGCGCTCCCAGGGACGCGTGGGTGCAGACGGGAAAGGTGCGGGAAGTGAAGGGGCCGAGCTGGGGGAGCACGGGGCAAGGCGGGTTTCCGCGAGCGGGTCGGGGGGCCTTCCCGAGGCACAGACACTCGACACAGACGTCAAGGACTCAGGAGTCGGCCGGGCACGGGTACGGACACCAGCACAGGAGAGCCCGTGGACACAGGGCGCTGCTCGGCAGAACCACCGTTTGGTGTGGCAGGAGTTGGGAGACCAGGTTGCGACCAGGTTCCCGACTGGACGGACACCAGCAGGCACACACTCTCTCTTTCGCTCTCTAAAATAAATCTTTAAAATAAAATGTTTTGGACACAGGGCGCTGCTCGGCGGAACCACCATTTGGTGTGGCAGGAGTTGGGAGCGACAGGGAAGACAGAGCTGAAAAAGCAGAGTGAGGGAGGCTGGGCTCAGAGACCAGGGCTGAGGGGTCTGGAGTTAGCCCTACCGGCGTGAGGCGGGCCCCGAAGGCTCCACACGGGGTGTGCTGACTGCGCGGACACCCTCAAAGAGCAACTGGGGCCACGATCTGAAGAACGGACCAGAGGGGCCAACAGCAGAGACCAAGGCACACGAGAGGTCAGACGGTGGCGATCCAACCCCGGGCGGGCAGGGGCGCCGGGGAGATGGGGGTTGGTGGGACTGGCCCGGGGCACCGACAGCCCTACCTAACTGGAAGGGAGAAGGGGGCCAGTGTCGAGCCCCTCTGACTCAGGGACCCGGTCGATGACCGTGGCAGCGTCTACCACGTGATAAGGCACGTGAGCGAGGATGGGCACATTCTGGCTGGTCGCTCAGAAGGCAGCCTGGGCTACACACTCAGGTGAGGAGTAGCAGCACCCAGACAACACGGGGCAGGGGCCTGTGGGACTGCACAGGGTGGGATGAACGAGGCTCCAGGGCAGAAGTGAGATAACGAGAGGGGGAAGCGGAGCAGGAACAACAAAAGATGACAAATCTAGAATGGTGTGGTGTAAGGAAAACCAAGGGAAAAGGGAAAGAAACACAGGAGGCAGTGATGGGGAGGGGCTGGGGCACGGGAGCTAGGACCCTAAAGCACGCGTGTGCCGTCTGTGGGAAGGACCCCACGGACGAGAGGGAGCGGTGACACAGTGCGAGGTCCCCAGAGGAGGGGGCAGTTCTGGAACACCTCCTGGCCCAGCTCCCGCCCTGAGGTGGGTACTCTCAGTTGCAACCCCTGGAATGGGGACCAGACCCCCGGAGCCAGTCCTGCGGCAGAGGATCCAGGCCTAAGCAGGATGGACGTTCCTTTGTCTGGAGCTGGCATCAAGGAAGGGAGGTGTGTAGACGGACAGGGAAGTAAGTGGTGACAGGGTGGAGGGGAGCTGGGGGCAGGTTTTCAGGGCAGAGAAGCAGGACAGGAGCATGCTGGCCAGGTCAGGAAGTCACTGGCCTGCCACCTCGGACCAGGCGGAGGAAGCCACGCGGCCCCACAGGCCACTTCTTCCTGATTCCCGGGCTGCCCGGCCATCGCCCTCTGTTCAGGTGGGATCACAGATAAAGGAAAACCAGTTCGCTTTATAAAAACGTTCCTTTACCCCTCAGGAGGACTCCAAAGCCTCCCCTCACCACCCAGGTGGGTTGAAAACACTTATGCATTTAAATGGGGTTCCCAGGGCTGCTCTAAGTCTCCACTTGTTGATCCAGAGAAAACAGAACTGAAGTCCAAATGTTAGCTCCAGATCAATTCCGAAAACTTACATATCTTACCTCTTAACTCCTCTCCGGAACTCAAAGAGTTTTTGTCCCTCTGGAATGGAGAATACCCTAATCACGGTCCCCTGTGACAGGTGGGAAAAGAAAGAAAAAAGACTGTAGCTGAGGAAACCCAGCCTGTGTCTCCTTCTCCTCAGACTCTGAAGGAAACACGAGGGGGAAACACACGTTCCTGGCTTCCACCCCCGACTGTGTATTTCCTCTTTTCTGTAGATATAGCCGCCACCAGGACTCACTGCTTCTCCCAAACACCAACAGTCTTGACGTCACACGTACAACAGCTCTAGTTATTTCTAAGTCCCGTGACGTTTCACCTCACACACACCATCTGCTCGTCGGGAGGCACCACCTAACTCAGCTGAGGTCTGAGAGGCCTGTGGCCCCCCCCACATCCTTCCTTGTACTTCAGGCTGAGTTACTGATCGGCGGGGCTTCCGGGACCGGGCAGAGGAGTCTATGAGTGAGCAGACGAGCTGCTGCCCTTCCCGGCACGGAGATGAGGCACTCTGGAGATGCCAGAGTCCCTGCCGCGCCCCCCAGTCCTGCCTCCCGCAAAGTAACAGGGCCTCTGTGGCTGGAGAGACAGGACTTGGACATCTGGGAGAGTAAGAGAAAACAGCCAAGAAAGTGAACACAAATGGGACTTTCAACATCGAAATGTTAAAAGAACACTAGCAAGCTACGGTAATAAAATAGCACAACAAGAAAGAGACTCCTAGAACAAAATGGAAAACCTGAAAACAGGCAGTATTTCAAATTCGCGGGGCAGGAACATGTAACCTGACATATTTTGGAAGGTTCAAACTGTTTAGTGTAAAAACTGTTAATAATATCAGACAGAAACTATAAACAACCTAATTATAGAACACCAGAAACTTTCTTTAAAATGTTATTTAAAAGGGGCGCTAGGGTGGCTAAGTTCTTAAGTGTTCAACTCTTGATTTCGGCTCAGGTCATGATCTCAGGGTCGTGGGACGGAGCCCCGAGTCAGGCTCCATGCTCAGCAGGAGGACCAACCCCCCGCCCCGCCCCTCACCTGCGTGCAGGCACACACTCTCTCTTTTGCTCTCTAAAATAAATCTTTAAAATAAAATGTTTTTTAAAGACAATGATTCTCTCTGGATAAACGGATACCAAATGAGTTTGTAATTCTTGAGAACCAGAAGGATAAAACAGCACAGTCACATACCAAAATAACCACAGTGAAGATTTGATCCTTTGTAGTCTCAACTTTCTGATTTAGAGATTTTTTTTTACTGGCTTATCTAGTGCATAACACTAATTAGCAAGGGCTGCTGGTCTCAGCCTGGTTGTGCTCCCCGAAAGCAGCACTAAGCACATAGCTAGGCCCGGCCCCAGCACCCAGCAGGATGGGGGAGGCCGTGGGGGGTTAAAAGCAAATCAAGAGATTGCTCTTCCTAGCCCAGAAAAAAAAATCCTTCTATTCTTTCTTTTTTTTTTTTTAAAGATTTTTTATTTATTTATTTGAGAGAGAGAGAATGAGAGAGAGCACATGAGAGGGGGGAGGGCC